GTTAACTATTTTAGATGGTAGTGGTAAACAGAGTTTATCTCGTTTGGCTGCTTCGATAAGTTCATTGGATGTATTTCAAATTACATTACGTAAAGGCTATAGTATTACCGATTTAAAAACAGATTTATCTGCTTTGTATATTAAAGCTGGTCAAAAAGGAATTGGAACTGTGTTTCTAATGACTGATTCACAAGTAGCTGATGAAAACTTTTTGGTATTAATTAATGATATGTTAGCATCAGGAGAAATACCCGGATTATTTGCCGAGGATGCTGTAGAAGAAATAACTGGTGCAATAAGAAATGAAGTGAAATCACAAGGTATTGATGATACAAGAGAAAATATTTGGAAATATTTTATTGAAAAAGTGCGAAAAAATTTAAAAGTAAGTATTTAGCAAGGATGATGTAGGTACATTTTCTAATTTTTTGTCTATTAAACTTGTACTATGCTTTTCTCCTGTTGGTGCAACATTGCGTGTACGTTCTCGTAAATTTTCAGCAATTACCAATTGTACAAGCATCGATTGGTTTCATGAATGGCCAGAAGAAGCCTTGATATCTGTCGCGAATCGGTATTTTGCTGAGATTCATATAGTTTTAACTTCGATCTAATGATAACTCGTTAGTCTCCTGAACATATGACAGTTGTCTCAGACAGAGATCATGACTTTTGGACTGTTTGATCTTTTTAGTTTCGTCAATGATGTAGACATTTTAAAACCAGAAATAAAAGATTCAGTTTCAAAATTCATGGCATTTGTGCATAAGTCTGTCAATGATATGAGTGTCACTTATTTACAGGTTTGTTAAGTTATTTACGGATTGTGCTGTTGTATATTGTTGTCTTTCTCTATTTAGAATGATAAACGTTATAATTATACGACACCAAAATCATTTTTAGAACAAATCACATTGTATAAAAATCCGTTAGCGAAAAAAAGTCTTGAATTACAAGAGAAAATAAATCGACTTGAGAGTGGTCTTGTAAAATTGCAATCTTGCGCAAGACAAGTTGATGATTTAAAAGATAAACTAGCAGCTCAAGAAGTAGAATTGAAACAAAAAAATGATGATGCTGATAAACTAATTAAAGCTGGTAGTCAATTATTTTCTTTAATATTATCTTTTATTCACTTATTTCATTTTATAGGTTGTTGCGACTGAAACTGAAAAAGTGACAAAAGAAAAGGAATCAATCGGTGTTGAACAAGCGAAAGTCGCCGAAATCGAAAAAAACGTAACAATAAAAGCAACTGACTGTGAATGAGATTTAGCACGTGCTACGCCAGCATTGAAAGCAGCTGAAGAAGCGTTAAATACATTAGACAAGAATAATTTGACTGAACTGAAAGCATTTTCAAATCCACCAGAAGCTGTTTTAAAAGTGGGTGCTGCAGTGATGTGTCTAATGCCGCCTGGTGGGAAAATACCCAAACCAGCTCAGCGTGATTGGAAAACTGTTAAAGCAAGTATGGGAAGTGCTGATCAATTTCTTGGTATACAATTTCTCATTCATAGTAGTGCGTACGTGTGTGAAAAAACACAAAATCTGTCTTTTCTAGGTGCACTACGATCATACGATAAAGAAAATATCCGTGAAGATATGCAAAGAGAAGTACGACCGTATTTAGAAGATCCCGATATGTAAAGATGTAGAGAAACTCAACTATTAGGTTTTATCAGCGAAGTATCAATGAATAAAGAGCCTCCATCATCGAATTAACTCGAAAACGAAATATTCCATTTCATTTTTTCGTACACTCTGCTTTATTCAAATGAGTTTATTTTCTCTCTCACTCTCCCTCTGTTTAGAATTTGAATCGGAAAAAATCAAATCAAAATCTGCCGCAGCAGCCGGATTATGTGCTTGGGTTATTAATAGTGTCAAATTTTATGAAGTTTATTGTGAAGTTGAACCCAAACGACTAGCTCTAGAAAAAGCCAATGCTGAATTGAAAGCAGTCCGAGATAAACTGGAGTTGATCAATAAACAAGTGGCGGTGCGTCATTATTTTTACCAAAGCTTCTTAAAGATCTTACGTTAGTCGCTTAAAAAACAATCAAATATCCATGGAAAACGTCATGGTTTTTTTCTGTTCATTTTAGCAATTAGAAGAAGCATTAGCAAAACTAACAGCTGAATATGATACAGCTATGTCAGCTAAACAAAAATGTCAAGAAGAAGCTGATCGTACATCATATACTATATCATTAGCCAATCGACTCGTCGGTGGATTAGCATCGGAAAATGTTCGATGGCGTGAATCTGTTGCCGGTTATCGTTTATCTGAAGATACGACACCCGGTGATGTTTTGCTCATAACAGCTTTTGTTTCCTATATGGGTTGTTTTACAAAAACATATCGTGTGGATCTAATGGAAAATTATTGGAGACCAAAATTATCCGAATTAAAGGTAAGATGAAAACGGTATCAGACTCTATGCGAGATAAATTGACGTGTAGATGTAATTGGTGAATGTGATGAAATCTTACTCAATTCTTATATAAGCCTCCATGAAAGTGACAAGAATTCCGCTGGATCTTATAAGAATCGTGTAAGAGCCAGTGGACAGCTTGCCCAAACGTAACGGCGTCACATTTTTAACATAGTAATTCTGAATCTTTATAGAAACTATAAGAGGTAGATGGATGATTCTACCACCATTTTGTACAGTTCACTGTCCTCTGTCTCTGGTAAAAAAATGAGAAAATTTGGGTAATATTTACGGGTTTTTGAAGGAATATTCAGCGCGTGACGGACATGGTAGAAGAAGGTCTTAAATCGTGATTACATTCAATTAAACGTGACGCCTCACCCTCACCACCACCCCACCACCGGCCCTATCATTTCTCTTCTACTCTCTTTCTCTATGTAGTTTAATAAAATATCTCATTCAGTGATTTTCACGAAACAGAAAGAAATCTCCTCCTTTTCGGCGTTTTCCTTTCGATATTTTCCTTCTTCCATTATCCGCTTTCGACGTTTGTCTTTTCGACATTTTTCCTTTCGATGTTTTCCGTCAACTCCATTCTCGTGACCAAGTGAAGCAAGTTTGTAGCATAAAAGTGTTCTCTTTTTGACATAGACAGTGGTCTTTGATCTAGCTAAAGAGCTAACACACACACGTGGAATGGTTTCTGTTAGTCTATAGTTTTCGCTTTTCTTTCTTCATAGGTAAGACGGTTACTGTGTCTATTGTATCCTTTCTCTAGGTTGTGCAATTCTAATACGTGTACAACATAAAATTAGAAACGACATGCGTCGTCGTGTGTGTGTGGATAATATCGTAATGTGGGATATTTCCTCCGTTGTGCAGGTATTAGAATTGCACAACCTAGAGAAAGGATACAATAGACATATTAACCGTCTTACCTATGAAGAGAAACACAAACCACAGAGCTATAAACCATTCCACGTGTCACGACAATTATACTGTTTTCTGTGAGAATTATGCATAGGATCTCGCAGATATTATGCTCTGTTCACGAGAATTTTGTATCTTCTCATTAGTGTGACAGCTTAATATCTCAGAACGCGGATAATTCTCAAGGAGTTTTGTCTAGGTCACGAGAATAATGCTTTTACACGTGTATTATGCATAGAATCTCGCAGAAATTTTGCTCTCTTCACGAGAATTTTGTACCTTCTTATTGAAGCTTTTGTGTCTTGGGCATGAGAATAATGTATTTCCCAAGGGGGGGAAAGCATACTTCTCGTACTTCTCTGTAGTTCGCCGTACTTCGCCATACTTCGTCGTACTTCTCTCAAGAAAGAAGTACAGAGAAGTGCAGGGAAGTACACAGAAGTACGAGAAGTTCGGAAGTACGCTTTTTCCCCCTTGGTATTTTCGCGAGAACTATGCTGTTTTGTCTAAGAATTACTCCCATCGAAGACAGTATATTCCAAATTGACATATGGCAGTGTTTTCGCCACTTAGAACTATTAACTTATGCTAGTTCTTAGAAACTTCTCGTTGCACAAACTTAGTTTTGGTTTGTCGATTTCTCTCGCACTGCTGTTGCCTATAGTAGAATTAAAATGAAAACTGATGAAAATACAAATGAAAACGAAATCATCGCTAAGAGATTATTCTTTTGAATTAAAACATAATGTATAGTGACATACAAAGTATATTTTATTATAATACATCGTTTGTTCTAAAGAAATTTTCATGCATAGTTATTGCTACGAGCCTTTATACACATAATGTTTGCTTTCTTTCTACGAGTAGACTTATTACTTTTTCGTTATTCCCTTTCTGTGCGTCACAGTTAAGAGAAACTTCTTATCTGCAGGGCCGTGTGGAGCAAAGTACAATATTTATTCTAAAGAAAAACATTAAATGGAATCAAACTCAATTCTCCAAAGATTTAATAAGCAAAGATTATTTCAATATTAATGGACTTGAGATTAATTAAAAGATTTTTTAAGACACACATACAGTAGGTCCCTGCTGTTCATTAATTCAAACCGGACATGAATGATGGTATAATGTCGATATAAAATATTTGCATTTTTGTTTCAAGTTCTTCTTCTACTTTTATTATTTTAAATCTTATACCAGGACGCAATAATACTTCTTCTTCTATTGCAAATTGTGACAGTTTTGCTATATAAACACCTTGATCACTTGCTGAACGTTTTTTCATTTCAATAACATATAGACTATTACCGTTAGTAAACAATTCGGCTGTCTTACGTTTTTTTGATGTTGATACAAATTGTGACCATTTCCAGATTATATCACTACCAATAGATGATTTATAAAGTTCAATAACTTCTGGTGTTAACGGTTCACCACGATATAATGTTATTTGTTTTGGTAATTTTCCTTGTTTATTGTTTGGACTGTGGCTATAAGTGTATAGTAGAAAACAAAATGGTCCTAACGTTTCAAATTTGTTACGATTATTATCTCGTAATGTTTCATTAACAATTCGAAATAGAAATAAATCTTGTGTATATAATTTTATACAAAGTTCTTGTATGATAAATAGTTTTTTGGCGTATTGCACTTTACGCAATTCACTAACACAATGATTTGCATCTTTGACTGCTTTCTTCGTATCATCTAGATATAGTTCACTTTCAGTTAATATACCTTTTATTGCTAAATCAACTATAACGCAGTTCTTTATTTTTAATTTTCCCTTTGTAATCCATTTATACCAATCAACGATAAAACTACAACCACGAAAATTTGTATCTTCACAAAATGAACGAGAACGTTCTACTCCTGTCGGGAATTGTATACGTTGTTCGAAACCACTTGTAGCAATACCAAAGTTTGTTGTAATACTTGTGGCTGCTGTTGCTACTGCTGATGGTAAGTGTGTAGTAGTAATCGATTGTCTAACAACAGGTCTTTCTTTAAATGTATCATTTAAATTTATTTGTATTTTGTATATCAAATCAATTTTATATGTTGTGTTAATTACTACTTCATTCTCTTCGTTTAAATAAGCATTTTCGATTATTTGATTGAGGTTTGATTCATATGGGGTAAATTGTTCTTCTTCGTCATTAAGCCATGGATCTTTATTCGATTTCCAAAACCACTGATATTTTATTTCGTTATCATCTTGATTGCTTTTATCATTATTATCATCCTCAGCATCATCACTACCATGAGGTTTAAGAACGAGCATAAAAGTGTTCTCTTTTTGATACAGACAGTAGTGTTTGCTGTAGCTGAAGAAGTGAAAATGTTAACTAGTAACTGCTAAACACACACGCACACGTGGAATGGTTTCATAAGTCTATGGTTTGTGCTTTTATTCATAGGTAAGACGGTTACTATGTCTATTGTATCCTTTCGCTAACAATATTAACACAAAGAGCCACACAGACAATAGTATTTGTTTTTAACGTACAGAAACAGAACAAATACACACACACACACATCATGTCGTCGGCTAATTCCGCCGTTTATATTGTTGATCTAGCTCCAGGATTACCTATCCGCGATATTGCGAATTTGAATAATGATGATGGAAGAATTGAAGTTTATTTTTATTCAGATTTTACGAGTGCCCGTAAAATTTACATATGAGTGCGTTAGTATCTCATTGATAAATAATTTTTGAACAATTGTTTGATAGAATAACGAATGCTCTACTATGGAAAATCGACCGGAAAGTTATACCGTTGTTAACATTAGTTTATCTATTCAGTGTTTTGGATCGAACGAATATTGGTCGGTATTTAGATTTACGTGTATTACTTTCTTCCTCTTACTATATCAAAACTCATCCTTTTTCATGATTCTATAGGAAATGCAAGATTATTTGGACTTGAACATGATTTACATCTATCGCTATCGGATTATAGTTGGGGAATATCCGTATTTTTCATTTCATATGTAAGTTAACGTTAGTTATAAGTTTGATTAATCCTTTCCCAGGGGTAAAAAAATTGACAAAAAAACGCGTAAAAGGTTTTAAAATCAACGCTTATTTTTGGTCGTTTAAACGTATCCATTAGTGTGGACAGAATGTCTAAAGACGAATTGACG